ACACAGAGAATTCAATTTTCGAGTAAATTACTCGCCTTTGGGGAGAATGGACTGAAATGAAGTACTCTAAAGCCAGTAAAACAGGATATTTTCTGTGTAGTCAATGCTATGGAGTTTGCATTTCCAAAGAAAGTAATTACAGCAGTTTGAAAAATCTTCGCAAGTTTACCAAACTTCCTACATTACTCGGATTTACTGGGGAAAATCGCACTGAGTCACAAAGTAGTGCCTTGAAAATTCCACTTGATTGTTTCCATCAGAAAAAGATCATTTTAGTGAAATAGCAATGTTGTTAAGGTTGTTTCTGCTTCGAAATCTCGATTATGAACACAATTCCGTTGTTAGGTAACAGCTGATTTATTATTAATCTATTAATTACGGTAGGTGGCGGCGGCAATGTTATTGCTTCACCGCTTTCGGCATCGTTAGTCGCCAAAGGATTACGGTAGGTATCTCAATAATTTTACTACATTTCTTCAAGAGCAGTTTAGTCCTGATTAATTTCCGCTTTTTTTTCGACAAATTTTGCGAAGAAACAATTTTATTCTGTTTGTTAAGTGATAACACCAGACATCCTTCATCGAAATTTATATTATCGAGGAAAAATGAGCAATTTTGAATTTTCTTGCTATTTTGTTACTTGATGATTGTTCCGAAGCGTAGTCGTACGCAGAAAACAAAAACGCAAATTTAACAGCTAAATACCTCATGATATGATTACTCTCTATGACAGTAAGATATTATTACATAAATTCTAAGTGAAAGCTCCGCAGATTTAAACGTCTCTCATTGACCATCTGGATTTTCCAAAGTCTATGATCGACGACAAATTTGCTAACGCCGATCGCTTTACCATCCAACGACAGATCAATCCACAATACGGTAAGGTAACATTGAGCAAGGATGAATTTGCTCAATAATGTTTTATTAGATGAATCCAGCGATGCTGAACGGCGTTCAGAACCGAAACGGTGGCAAAAACAACCTACCATTGTGGCAAAACGGAATGCTCGTGAACGGACGAGGGTTCATACGGTAAATCAGGTAAGATGCGCCAGTAGTGTAAAAAAAATGCTAACCAACTTTACGAACTTCCACTAAAAAATTTATAAAGTAAGTTGTCAAAGTTAATTTGGATTTCGTTCAGAGGATATTGAGCAGTCAGCTACAGGTGTGCATCTAGTCGGTATCCAACAAAGCTTTTTTCCTTTTTAATCTCATCTGAGTTT